AAAAAAGACAGCCAGGGTGAAGAGAAAGGTGGCGAGGAAGGAGAAAGGAAGGAGAAGGAAGGTGAGGAAGGAGAAGCCAGCAACCATAGCTGACCGAAAGAGTTGATCGGAGTTGACCGGGCATTGACCAGGTGTTGACCGGGAGTTGACCGGGAGTTGATAGGAGGTGCTGACCAGCGTTGACCAAGGCGTTGACCAAGACCGTTGACCACAATTTTGACCAAGCTGGCACCAATATAATATCGCCAAACCTTCAGCCTACCCCTCGCCCTATAAATGTGCACACACCCTGTGGTATTTGCTGAGTCAAGTCTGTTTGTCTCTTCTTTTTGCATTGAGTCTCTTCTGTCTAGGTGTAGGAACTCTGTGGATGAAGGATAGGGCCTCGTTGACCAAACCCCTGCCGGATTAAGTAGGGCTAAAGACTGTGTCTGACGACTAGACTGTCCCGGAGGACACGAACCCTCCCAAGGACCGGTACAGACCTGCGGGCTGCTCGGTGTGGCACGGTAGGCCCGAAAAGTTGAGCTGTGGCCTGCACAACAGGCAGTCTAAGTGTTGAGAGACCTACTGATCACGTCGTCTTGTTTGCGACGTTAAATAATTCCTGAGGAGTTACGGGGGATCTCCTTAAATGCCTCCTGATCAGCAACAGGTCTAGTAGTGACAGCCCTAGAGTAGGTCTAGGCTAGAGACCCTAGTTGACAGGATCCCTGTCCGGATTCTGTGACTCTTTAGATTGAGTCGGTAAGTTTGTCAGTTAGGGGTTAGAGTAAGTGGTGAGGTTTGGAACCGTTAACCCGGTTGTGCACTAATCACCATGGTTAACACCCGTAGTGGGAAGAGCACTAGCCCCTATACCCAGGCTCAACAAGAGCAGATGGTCGCCTTAGTGAAAGAGAATAGAGAGAGGAAAGAGCTCCTGAAGCAAGCGAAATCGAAAGCAATCGCAGAGGAGCAGGCGGCGAAAATGAAGAAATTGGAGGAGGAGATGGAGGAGAAGAAAAAGGCCGTCGAGGAAGAGGCGGCAGCAAAAGAAGCGGAAGAGAGAAGACGCAGGGAAGCAAAAGGGGAGAGTAGTGGCACGGCGAATGAGGATGCAGAGATGGAGAAGAATATCAGTGAGTGGATAGATAATTTATCGTTGGGGGAAGATGAGGAGGCACAGTTGTATGTGCCACAGGAGGAAAAGGAGGCGTTTGCCAGGGCACTAGCAACGATTGAGGAACCCCTGGAACGACAGGAGACAGAGGAGGAGAAGAAGTTGGAGTGAAAGTTGAGAATGAAGAGGGAGAAGAAGAGACGGAGGGAGGAAGTTAATCGATTGACCACAGAGGTGGAGAAGGTGAGAGCCTGTAGGCAAGAAGTGCAGGCGCAGGCAGATGCTTCTGCCAAAATGGACAAGATGTTGGGGTATCTGGAGGTATTGAGTGAGGCCTGGCTGGAGGAACGCCAAGCCAACTGGGGTCACGATGTGGCCCTGAGTGCCATGCGGTCAGGGTTTTGAGTGTTTGCGCGCGACATGGTTACCCACGTTGGGGACGAAGTCAGGCGGTTGAGAGATAACGTGGGGAGGTTCTGTGAAGGCGCCATTGAAGGTGCCAAAGCACTAGCCACTGTTGAGAGCGAGGCCACACCCCGCAAGGACCCAGTTAAGCTTAAGTTCCTAGACGCGTACGACGGGAAGCCTGAGGAGAATTTCGATAACTGGGAGGCTAGCGTAAACAATTATGTTTACTTACAGCATATCATACAGGACGATCAGGTCCTTGTAGCCTTCCAAGCCCTCAAGGAGGAAGCGACTAGTTTCGCTAGGTCCCTCGCGCGCGCGGCCGGTTGTGAAAACAACATGGTCGCTTATTCCAAAGTCACCCCCCTCCCTCAATTCTTCAAGCTCCTTAGGGAGTGGTTTGCTGATCTTTGCAGGGGCGTAAGAGCCTATGACAAACTCCAAACCATCCACTCACGACAGTGGAGGAGTGTCAGGGCACTCAAAGCCGTTATGGACGGCCTGGTGGTCGTTCCGGTCCATGGGGTGACTGCGTCCCCAACTGGTCCAACTTTTCTATCGTGCCATGTCGGAGCCCTTACGAGGGCACTTCTTTGACAAGTCCCAACAACCCACTCTGACGTATGATGCGCTTAGTAGCGAAGTGGTGTTGTTCGAGGCAAAGTCGATGCCAGTTTCCACTTTCTGGCACAAAGACTTAGATAAAGGCAAAAAGTGGAAAGGTCGTACCATCTCTGGCCAAGTCAGGGCCAAGGATCACATGATCCTTACATTGGAGGAAGGTGGTATTGACGAGGTCCCGTACAGTCAGATTGAGTGGGGCCTCGAGGAGGAGGACAGTAGCGTGGGACAGGGGAGGTCCTATGCTGCTGTCGCGGTTGGAGCAGGGCCGCAAGGTAGAGGAGGAGGTCAGGGCCGAAGGGGCCAAGCCATGGGAGGCCGAGGATCGGGCGCACAGGGGGTTGGCGGTCAAGGGAACTGTCAAGCGGGAGGTAGGGGTCAAGGTCCCCCACCGAATCGCCAACGTCCTAGCCGGTCCCCACAACGACGAGGTGGCAGGTCACCTCAAAGGTCAGGAGGTTGGCACCCAGGCTGGCCACAAGGCCGGCCCAGGGAAGATCTGGGCCTAGACCAGAAAATTTGGCAGCAGCGAATGGAGCAGGGGCAGTGCATTTATTGTGGTGACCCTGCCCATATCATCAAATATTGTCCTAAATATAGACAGGCCCGGTGGGCTGCCTAGGAGTCAAAAGGCAGCCGCCGGTAGGGGTCGCAACTGCCCCTACTTCTAGGCCATGTGGGGAAACGAGTGCGCGCGTAGAGGAAACTCCCACACCATATGAGCCTTCGACAGACGTTGCAGGCCTGTTGTCGGGACTGGTGGGTCCCGAATAACTTCCCATCAATCGAGAGATTGAATACGGAAAATTTGTGCACAACAGAGAAATCTGGAGTGAGGAAGCAGGAGAGAGAAAAAACGAAGGATTAGGCCGCAGAAGGGAGTGATGCCCTGAGGAGAGAACCACAGGAGGAAAGAACTAGCGGCGGCAAGCAAGTGAGCGCAAGAACAGGGGCACATAGAACATAGCAGGAGGCCGGAAGGGCTATCGGAATGCAATAAGACTAAGGCCAAAGGGCCCTTTGAACTAGCAATTGCAGCGTGACAACAATAAGGGAATGAGGAAGTCGAGGAATGGGCGGCCAGAAGCCGCGGGAAACCAGGAAATGAGGATCCAACGTGGGGGCCACCTATGGGAGCCTCGGAGCGGAGGCCCGCGACCAAAGAGATCGGCACGCACAAGGCGCGAGGAAAGACTAAGGAGAGGGGTCGCTATGGGGCGACAAGACGCCCAAGGGGCATGGGACACCTCGGGGAAAGGCACCCGGGGCCACGTAAGACTAAGTAAAAATAATGGCGTCTGGGGCGAAATCTGTCGGGACCGCCGACGGGACTAAGTGTCAGGGACCGCTGACGGGACTAAGTGTCGGGGACCGCCGACGGGACTAAGTGTCGGGGACCGCCGACGGGACAAGTAGCGGGGATATGTGAAAGTCCCAAGAAGAAACGGCAGCACCAAGGTCCCTACTGTCCAAGAAAGGAGGAGAAAAAGAAAAGAAAAGAAAAAAAAAGAAAGGAAAAGAGAAAAAGGCCTTAACGGTAAAAAACGGTCACTTGGGGAGATTCATCCGTGACCAGATTCATTCTGGAATATGGCGGTTACAAAGGACTTGGATTTTCTTTGATTTTTACCGAGAAAATAAAAAAAAATCAAGGCCTCTTGCAATCGGAATAAAACGGAATACATGCATGAGGAGAAACACATGTTTTAGGTGCATCCGGAGCCAAAATCAAGGCCGGATGCACTTGGGAGTTGGCCATTTCTTTTTCTTTTGAGTAAGGGCTAGTTGTGGGGCATTGGGGCTAAGGAATTGACCCCCATTGTAGTTCGAGTTGTAACGGACTGCATGGGAGAGAGAAAACACATGTTCTAGGAGCATCCGAAGCCAATATTGAACCCGGATGCACTAGAAAATTTAACGTAGCATGGAGCAAGTTGTGGGGCTGTGGGTATGGAAAACAGCCATGACTGCAGTCCGAGAAATTACGGACTGCATGAGGATGCCAAGGCGAAGGGGAAATGGGCTACGGCAAGCCCGGAAGGCTAGAAAGGAGCAATTTCGGCAAGGGGCAAGTAAAGATGGTAAACGGCAACCGTGAGATGAGATCTCACGGCCTAGAAAAATCAGCATGCATGTAGAGATGATGGGACCACCAAAGGTAAGGGGGCCCAAAAATAAAAATGGGACGCCGTCCGGAATGTTGTCGGGGACCAAATGGGTCAAAATAATAAAAATTGGAAAAACGGGACACGCGCCGGCGGGACCACCGACGGGACAAGGAAATGGAGCTAGCATGTAGGAAAATGGCGGGGACTTGTGATGTCCCAGGGGAACCATGGGCAAACACAAGGAACAATTGTGCAAGCGAGCGGCACCGTCGAGATCAAGGATCTAGACGGTGGAAAATATTAGCACCACTAGTGGGAGCAAGTGAGGGAGTCATGGGAGAAAGAAAAGTGGAATAAGAGTGTTGGGAAGGCTGCCCAACAGTCCGGGATATCTCGGACTAGCAAGGCATAAGAAAAGAGAGCCTTGAGAGGCCCAACATGAGAAAAAGGTTGCCCTTAGAAAATCGGAGCAAAAGGGGCTCAGAATTGGGCAAACGGGAGCAAAATGGAGCCCCCTAGGAGCATGGGGGTGCCATTATTGGAATCCGAGATATAACGGTCATGTAACAGCCATGAATCTGGCCTTGAATGAGGCCCTATGGCCTAGAAAGAGGGTGCACAACAGTTTGACACTTGTCACAACAGAAATAAAAGAAAAAGAAAGAAAAATGAGAGAAAAAGGAGGGAGAATGAGACAAAAAGGGAGAAAAGAGTGGAGGAGAGTGTGTCGGCCTATTGCGACCTGCACAGTAGGGACTGGCAGGTCCCAACAGTGACCTCATCCCTCCTAGAAATAGGAAGGGCAATCCGGATTGCAGAGGTATGGCCCTTAGGGTCATTTCTCAATAAAATCTGAATTAAAAAGTTGAAAATGAGAGAAAATGCAAAAAAGGAAGTGACCGGTTTTCTTTTGGACCATGGATGTGAGATCAGATCTCATGGTAGAGAGGAACTAATCGTTTTTTGTGGGCCAGCTCAAAACGGCTACCTCCGGAATGAGGTGGCAGCCCAAAATGGAAAGAAACAAAAGAGGGAAAATGACAAAACAGTGCATTTGGCCCAAAAAGAGAGCCAGATGCACCAAAAATTGAAAAACTGGACTTAAGGGCTCAAAATTGAAACAAGGGCTACAAGGGGGTAGCTCGGATTATTGCTGGTCTTGGATCTCAGCCAGATCCAAGGCTGAAAATGTGCCGCCATATGGAAAAATCCTCCGGCCTACTCAAAAGAGGCCGAAACTTGAAAAAATCGAGAAAAAGGCCCACAAGGCCTTTTTCTTTCAAGTATTGCTGCCCCTTGGGCATTTGGACCCTAGGGGTCAACATTTGAGCAATAAAAAAGAGGCCGGGTTAGGCCAAGAGGCAGTCCCAGTTGGTACCAACCACTTGGATTGCATGCACTTGGCGAAAATAAGGCCCAGGTACCTCTAGGAGGGCCTAGTGAGGGAATTTTGCCTTGGGGGTACCTCGGTTCACCTCAAGGCTCATGGGGAGGCTCATGGGCTGGCCAGACTGCTGGTTTCAGCCTACATAAGCTGAGGATGCAGTCCGCCACTCTCACATTTGCATGAGGAGTGCCCATGCTGCCCAAGTGAGTCCACAGKAGCACCTTTGCACTTGGAGTGAGAGGGGAGGAACCCMTGCTAGTGGGAGAGCTTAGAGGAGACTAGGAGGTAGTGGRGAGGACTCTAGAGGACAGTGATRGTGGGAGAGACACTTGGGAGGTGATCCGCCATATCCCTCCTGGGTGTAGGAGAGAAGGAGAGGCTAGAGGAGCCCCATTTGCCCTCCTAGAGGGGAGGACTCCATAGCCATAGTTGGGAGAGCTTGCCATAGCCTGAGAGAAAGCAAGGGAGGAGGAGAGAAGGGCTTGGAGAAGGAGAAAGCCATAGCCAAGGGAGGATTGTGCAAGAAGAAGAAACTTCATCAAGAGGACACCAACATCAAAGAATCAACAAGGTGAGATGAAGGAAGAGACTTCTTCACCTTCATCTTCTCCTTCTTTTTCTTCGTCTTCTTCTTCTTCTTCTTCTCCTTCTTCTTTTTCTTTTTCTTTTTCTTTTTCTTCTTCTTCTTCTTCTTCTTCTTCTTCTTCTTC